AAATAATTATGTGGTTTTATCTTGTTTAGTAAGTTAGGTTTGCAGGGAGTCTAAGACTATATATCTCTGAATTTGAGTTTTATCTGATAGCGTGAGTTCTGTACGAGAGAGTATCTCGTTTATTTCCGTTCTTATTCACGTTCTACATCAATTCTACAAACAAAATTACAAATTAAAATCATGTTTTTATTTTTTGCTTCCTCATTTCATGTAGCATGCAATAAATGATGATACTAACATATATACAACTCAAATATTTTATTTTTTTTTGTACAACTAAAACAAATAAGATATTATGTATATTTTTTACTATGTTGGTATATATATATTTTTTTTTTCCAACCCAAGTATGATATGAGCCAAAAAGTAGTTATGGGAGAATATACATCAAGATTAAATCATTTTGAGAAATAAAAAAATATAAAGTCTTCTCCCTCTCGGCGATTTTCTTCTCTCGGTTTCTCCCTCTCGCGGCACCTCTAGCTTTTTCCGATTTGACCTCTTTTGGCGGCGGCGAGGCCGGATCTGCGGCCGCCGCTGGCCGCCCTTCCTTCCATGGCGTCGTTTCTCCTTGGTTTCGCAGCCTGGGCTTCTTCTTTCGTCTCTTCCGTTGGTTGGTGGGTGGGGGTCCGGCGGCGGTTCCCTGTCGTAATCAGGGTTAGTCGGTGCCGCTCATTGCAATTGAGAGCCCCGTTTGTTGTTCCCTACCTTGGTCTGGTTTGATTGGTGGGCTTGGTGAAGGGTGAGTTTTGGGAGTTAGGGTTCGATTGGGGCTCAGCGGTTTCTCCGATGGGGTCGTCTGTTGGGGCTTGATTCACCCCGTTTGGGTGCCTAGGGTTGGTGGTTCAGGGCGTTGGTTTGGGTTTTGGGGCGCTTAGCAGGGGTTCGGTTTTCCTGCTGGGTGGTTGGCTGTAAGGACGGGAGGGAGAAGGTGAGCTTGCGCCAGTGGTGGCGGGACAGCGATGGCGTGAGGGGCTCTGGTGGCTGTTGTGTGTTTTGCGTGGCGGTTGTCGGGATTTGGGTTCGGGCAGGGAGCGACTATCCCTGCGCATCTCCTAGTGGTGTTAGTCTAGCTCGGGTTGATCCGGTTGGGGTTCCTGGGCCTGTTCTCCTCGGTCAGAGGTTACTGTCTTTTGGGTTGGGTTCGGGGGCAGGGTCCCACCTCTTGTTAGGCCATCGGCAGTTTCGGGGGTTGGGACTTGGCTAGGGACCTAACCTAGAGTCGGTTGTAGCTGCTACTTTGGTTTAATCGGTTCTCCGGGGGAGGGTCGTTTAGTTTTTTGCTTTCTGGTTTGTTTTGTAGGTTGTCTTTTTATTTTTCTCAGTGTGTTTGTTTGTTTTTGTTTCGGAGATGAATACATGTTAGGCATTGTGCAGTGACTCTTTTTTTCATTTTTCTTTATTTTCCTTTGTGGAGTTCACTAGGCCGCCATTGGCGTGTCCTCTCAATTTTCTATTCCTATTTGTTTTTAGGAGTGTTTTTGGTTTGGGCCGTTGTCTCCTGTCTCATTACCCTGTTGGAGCCTTAGATTACCCTGTTGGAGTCTTGTAATTTTGTTCATTTACACTTTTGTGCTCTTCTATATTATCTCTGTCGTTTTGGGAAAAAAAAAATACATCAAGATTAAATATTAAAATATTAATGTCAACATGCATATATATGATCATTTATTATCAGAAATTCTATGGTGCCACATGTGGCACCATATTATGGTGCCACAACATGATGTGGCACATTATGATTGGTGCCACAACTATCACACATCATGTTATGGCATCAATCATAATGTGCCACATCATGTTGTGGCACTATAACACGTGGCACATGTGGCACCAGAATTTCTGAATTTATTATACATAAAAAATGAGTATTTTAGGTGTCCGCATGGTCCAAAGAATATGTTCATCGAACCGAAAGCTATACTTTATCTGTAGCTTACATTTATTCGATACCTATTATAATCACATGTCTATTTTGGAACAAATCATCACAAATAAAAAAAAAAAAATGAAATAAAAATAATAATTCAGCTACATCATATTTTCTTATTGATAATTGATTTTAAGTAGACGAGCTATTTAAACAAGGTTTAATTGAGAATAACCAACAATTGAGTTTTAAGAATTTTAATTTAATATTGAATCCATGATATTCTTAAGGAAAAGAGCCTTGAATTTGATACAATCTCCATGAGTGTTTTTCCAGTTTTCAAGATTTGTAGGAGTCCATCATTAATGGAATTTAGTGGACTTGTTTTGAGAATATTGAGATTTTATAGAATTTACAGAATTTTAAATTAAATATAACCATTTTTAATAGAACCATATTTTTTTTAAAAAAAAAAATTAAGAATGCTGAACATATATATATAACATTGAAATTCAACTAAAAAAATTCACGGAGGAGATAAAATGGGCTTAATGTGTTGACTACTAACACTTCGAATTAGCCGATGTTTGATAAAACTAATAAGTTAACTGATAGCTGATAAATTAGTTCATAACTTATAAGTGATTCTCGAGCTTATAACTTGTAGTTTATGATTTATAGCTGAAAATTTAGCTTATATGATATAAAAAGGTGTTTGATAAACGTAGCTAATAAGTTATGAAACAAAAATTTCAACGAGCTCATTTGAAAAACTACTCAAATAAGCTTTTGTCATAAACTCGAGTTTTTTTTTTT